GCAAGGGGCTCCTCATGTCGGACCACCGGCCCCTCAGCTTCACCGGCCAGCTGGGCGAGGCCGGCGTCTCCTGAGGAGCGGGCGCGCCGCGGCCTGGCGGGGGCAGGGGGCGCGACAGGACGAGCGGAGGGAGGGCGGGCGGCAGCTTGCGCCATGGGGAGAGCGGGTCCTCAGGGAAGCAGGTCCCGAGGTTTTTCGCCGTTCTCGGGCCCTCGGGGCCTTCCACGAGCCCTGGGACTGTCAGACACCGACCTGGGATGAAGACCTCGTCCTGGTGGATGGCCCTGAGGTCCAGGACCCGTTTCCCGCAGGACCCGTTTCCCTTGGGGAGTGAGCAGAGAGGATTATCGGATCGGATCGGGAGTCCGCGCCAGGGCTTCACAAGGAAACCACAGCTGGGGGCGTGCAGCAGCATTCGAGCTACCGCAGGCCTAGGAGGAGCAGGAGGCGGAGGAGGAGGCGGAGGAGGAAGAGGAGGAGGCGGAGGAGGAGGCGGAGGAGGAGGCGGAGGAGAAAGAGGAGGAGGAGGAGGAGGGGGAGGCGGAGGAGGAGGAGGACCAGGGTAAACCCAAGAGGCATCAACGATGTTGGAATAAACCCTTCCTCCAAGCTTCTTTTCATAGGCCCCTACAACTTTTCACTTTACTTGGGGAACTGTCTAGTTAGAAGACAACTGTTTGAAGACCCGGAAGCATGCCAAAACATTGTTCTCGGGATTCCAACGCCACGGATCAACATGACTGTTGGGTCTTGGCGATTCTCAATCGTACCAGAACGCCATTCCTGGGACTTGAACACCGCGAGTCAATATAACTTCTGCACCCTGTTACGCCTGAATCCTTCCAAACCGTTTCTGGAACGTTGATCATGGGAATCCGTGAAACTCTTGCAACTTCTTAAAGCGAGTGTACGCGGCGCTAAGGCGAGAACCACATTGTGAAAAGGAATCGCCCTCAATCCGTGAAGCTCTCGCAAAGAATTAAGACGAATGCGCGCGGAGCTAAAGCGAGAGCCACACTTTGAAAACGTTTCGCCCTCAGTCTGAGAAGCTCTTGCCAATTGTAACACGAATGTGATCGGCGCTAAGGCGAGAGCCACATTTCGAAAATCACTCGCCCTCAATCTGTGAAATTGTTGCACATGTTTGACGAATGTGCGCGGAGCTAAGGCGAGAGCCGCATTTTGAAAAGGAGCCGCCCTCAATCCGTGAAGCTCTTGCCAATTTTTAGCACGAATGTGTGCGACGGCGCTAAAGCGAAAACCACATTTTGAAAACCATTCGCCCTTAATCCGTGAAACTCTTGCACATTTTTAGGACGAGTGTGCGCGGTGCTAAAGAGAGAGCCACATTTTGAAAACCACTCGCCCTCAATCCGTGAAGCTCTTGCAAATTCTTAAGACGAGTATGCGCGGCACCAAGGCGAGAGCCACATTTTGAAAAGGAACCGCCTTCCATATGTGAAGCTGTTGCCAATTTCTAAGCGTCCGAGTCATAAATGGTGAGGAGGTCTCAGGCGAAACGTCCTTCCCGCCCTAAAAACTGGCCTCGGGGTGCGACAGGGGGAAGTTATAAACAGAAGGAATTGAGGAGGAGGAGGCGGAAGAGGAGGAGGAGGAGGAGGAGGAGGAGGAGGAGGAGGAGGAGGAGAAGGAGGAGGAGGAGGAGGAGGAGGAGGAGGAGGAGGAGGGGGAACGTAAAAAGCGTGGGGGCGGGGCAGCCGCATTGACGACAGCTGCTGCCGGCCTGGGCGGGCTTCACGTCGCGAGAGTCCGTCGGGGCGGGGCCCGTCAGTTCCCCTCGTGTCCGCCTCCCCTCGCTCCCCCCCTTTGTGTTCGCCTGTCGGGTCCGCGGTCCTCCGTCGCGGCGACAGGGCAGCGGCTTCGTGTGCGTCATCAGTGAGGAAGTGCGATCTGGTGTAAGTGATTGCCCTTCGGCACGAATTCTTCGCCACGGGAGTAAGGGGGCCCTGAGGAAAACGGGTCCTGCGCATTTTTGCCGTTTTGTGGCCTCCCTGGGCGCTCGACGGGCCCTGTGACAGTAAGCAACGGCTCTGTGGGGTCAAGCCGTCCGCAAAGGTGCAGGTTTCGGACTGTCTCAGCCGCCCTTTCGCGGAGGTCATCTCGATCCGTCTCACTGGCTCGGAAATGCAACATCTGCAAGAAAACGATCCAGTCCTGAAAATGGTCAATTGTTGGCCATATTGTTAGTGCCACAATGGAACTCTTGGACACATGATTCCGAACAAGTGGTCGTTCTACTGGTGATTTCAGCTCGCCCCAAGTCAACTTGGAGTTTTTTTCCCCGCGTGTCTTTATTGACCAGGCTGCTCATGAGCAACATCAGTTTTTGTTTGAGGCAGTTCTTCTGTGCGTGATTCCGCCATCAGTCGAGCCCAAGATTCTTTGCACCGATCTCTTCCAGTAAGGATTTGGACGCGTCAGCCAGTACGTGTCTTCCCCCCAAAAATAAAGAAAAACGTCAACCAGTACGTGTCTGACGCTGAAGGTATCCTCCTCCTCCTCCTCCTCCTCCTCCTCCTCCTCCTCCTCTTGAGTTTCAGATTCCTTCCCGGGCCGCGCGCGCGCCTCGGGCCGTGCTCTGCGACTCCCGCTCCCGGACGCCCCTCCTCTTCGGCGCCCCCCGCTCCGTCCGGACCCCGCTCTCTCCACGGTCGACTATTCTGTTTCGACCCGGGTGGCCCCCGTTCGGGCCATCCGGCACAAAGGCTCACGCTCGTTCGCCTTCTCACTGCCCCCGCCTCTCTCTCGTCCCGCCCTTGGACGCCACCCCCTTGGGCGCCCCCGATTCCGTCAGGACCCATTTCCTGCTTGGTTGACTACTTCGTTTCAACCCCTTGGCATCGCTCGGACGTGTGCATTTTTTCCTCGGCGAGGATCATTGTGGAGCATCCTGGTTCGTTTTCGAAAAGCACACGCGCGAAATCGAAGAGTACACGGGAAATGGACGTCCGAGCGATGGCGAGAGCACGTGTGCCTGGGGGCACGCGTTTTGATGCCTCGAGTGGGGCGGTGACAGATCATGGGCTGGAGATTGCGGGAGACCAGCAGAACAGGGAGCGCTTGAGGGACAACTGTCTCCTCGACCTCACGCACCTCGGAAGGGGCTCTGGCCCACACGAGCCGCCCTCCGGGGGGCCCAGCGGCTGGCGCATCCTCGCGTCCCGCGTCCTGCTGGCGAGGGTGGCCCCCTCCGATCCCCCCTCTGCCTCCCGCTGTCCCCTGCCCCTCCTGCCCTGCCCCTCTGCGCCAGCCCGCTCCCCGCGCCCCTGCCTCCCTCCCTCGCGACCCGTGCCGCCCCGCTCGCGCCATGCCGCAAAATGCTCACGCGCACTCCTCCTCCTCCTCCTCCTCCTCCTCCCTCCTCCTCCTCCTCCTCTCCTCCTCCTCCTCCTCCTCCTCCTCCTCTCCCCCGCCCCCCCCGCCTCTCTCTCTCTCTCTGCCGTGCCGCCGGCCGACCTTGGCCCCAAAGGCTTGTGCGCATGCGGGCGTATATCCCTCGGAACACCGTTATCCTTCCTCCTCCTCCTCCTCCTCCTCCTCCTCCCTCCTCCTCCTCCTCCTCCCCCCCTCCTCCTCCTCCTCTCCTCCTCCTCCTCCTCTCCTCCTCCTCCCTCCTCCTCCCTCCTCCTCCTCCTCCTCCTCCTCCTCCTCTCCCTCTTCCCTCTTCCTGGCCGCCTGCTCAGGGAGGCCCAATGGCGTCCCTCAGTTATCAGGGGGGGGCCTGGAGGAGATCCCAGGGGTTGTGACTCGCGGGGGAAGCCTATCCTGGGGTGCAGGTGCCCCCCCCCAAGGACCCCCTTCCAGGACTCTCCCCCGGGACCCCAGGACCCCTCAGAACCCCCTCCAGGACCCCCCCAGGAACCCCCTCCGGGACCCCCCCAAGAACCCCCTACGGCTGCCTCCTCTGGGAATGAATGCGCCATCTGAGTTGGAATTACTCGGTCGCAGGTCATCGGGGCCTTGTATACTCTTCTAGTTTTGTTTTTGGCGTCGATCAGCGTCGATTAGCGTGGGAATCGATGAGAATGCGCCGATTTAGCGTCGGTTGGCGCCGATTAGCGTCGATCTAGCGCCGATTAGCGTCGACTAGCGTCGATTAGCGTCGATTCGCAAGAGCCGGCAAAATGGTATGGGAGGCTCCCATGAGTTGCCACAGAAGAATTATCCACTGGCCTTCGGCGGATACGACACCATGGTTTGGTTGCGGGTGATGGGCTCAGGAGTTAAGCGAGGTAAGCAACTGGGCGTTCTCAGCCATGTTGCTGACCGGTGGGACTACGCCATCGCCAAGGAGTTCGCCTTGCATGCTGCTTTCTGGTGGCTCGTGATGGGAATTTTAGGGGCTCCTTGTGCGCCTGTCGGGTGCCTCTTGGGGGCCTCTCGAGGTTCTGTTGGGGTCTTGGGGCCGTCTTGCGGGTCTGGTGGGGGATGTCTCGGGGCCTTTTTTGGATGTCTTGGAGCCGCTTGGAAGTCTCCTGGTTGGATCGGCTTGGGCTGTGAGTGCGCTGTCTGGGAGCAGTCTGGAGTTGGGATTGGCTCGCATTGCTGGGTTATATACTTTTCTGTTGTGAGGTCATCCTGAAGCCCTCCAGGAGACCTTTTCTGTTGGGCGTGTGAGAAAGTTCAAGAACGAATTCTGGGGCACAGGTACCATCGTGTCTGCGCCGAATGATGTCCGCCGCCGTGCTCAAAGGTAAGACGCTACGAAGGCCCGCGTTATATAGCCTCGTCTTCCCCCTCTCTCTTCTGCCTTCCTCCTCCTCCTCCTCCTCCTCCTCCTCCTCCTCCTCCTCCTCCTCCTCCCTCCTCCTCTCCTACCTCCTCTTTCGCCCGTCCTCCTCCCTCCTCGCCCTCCCCTCCCCTTCCCTCTCTCCCTGCCCTCTCCGCCCTCTTCCGCCCCCCCTCCTCCGGCCTCCTCCGCGCTCCCCTCAGCGTCTGCTGCTGCTGCCGCCGCTGCTCTCTGGCGGGCTCCGCGGCGCGGGATCGCGGGCCCGCGCGGCCGCCCGCGCGCGACGCGGCGCGGGGGGGGGGCGGCCGCCTGGGCGCGGCGGGGGCCGTTTGCCCGGCGCCGCGACCGCCTTCTCCCAGGCCGGCTGCCGCGGCTGCCGCCTGGCGCCCCCAGGCTTCCAGGGCGTAATGTTAAGTCGGGCCTGGCCCTCTACAGGGGGAATGTTCAAAAGTAGTCAAAAAAGTAGTCCGGGGACTATTTTTTGTTATTTTTGGATCACTTTTGAGCGTTTTCCAGTATTTCCGGGCGCTTGTGCCGCCAGCCGCGTGCGCTCCTCGGCCCTCGAAGTGTCGCAGGCACGCTCACGCGCACGCGCGCGTGCGCTCGCGCACTGCGCACCTGCGCCCGCGCGCGGCACGCGCGCCCCCCGCCATGAGCGCGTGCGCACACGCGCAAGCACGCGCAAGCACGCGCAAGCACGCGCAAGCACGCGCAAGCACGCGCAAGCACGCGCAAGCACGCGCAAGCACGCGCAAGCACGCCTGCTCACACTCATGCGCAGGCACGTGCGTATGCGCATGCGCACGCACGGGTGCACGCACATGCGCACGCGCAAGCACATGCTGCCCATGGTCTTGGCCACGCGCGCACCGTGGTGCAGGGTGCAAGCCGACGAGCCTACGCTGACGCTCCTGGCGGGAGAGCTCGCGTGCCCCACTCAAGGACGGGAGGCAACATCGCGCAGTGTGTGCCCACGGGCGGAGCCCGACAGGCTCGGGCAAGGACAGGGGCGACGGCCCTGCCGGGCCCTGCGAGGTCTTGCGAGCGCACCGAGGAGGGCACCACGCCCTGGAGGCCTCCCCAGAGGGTTACCAGGGCAGTGGAGTCCGACAGGCTCGGGCAAGGACAGGGGCGACGGCCCTGCCGGGCCCTGCGAGGTCTTGCGAGCGCACCGAGGAGGGCACCACGCCCTGGAGGCCTCCCCGGAGGGTTGCCAGGGCAGTGCGGAAGGTACCGCGTGGGTGGCGCAGGGCGCTGCGCGACGTCTCGTACACGGTGCATTCGACAGTGCTCGATCGCAACTAGCCCTTGCGTCTGCTGCCCGCGCTTGAGGACCCTCTGCGCCGGGGCGCGGCTTCGTGATAGTACGCAGTGCCCTTCGGCCAGTGCTTGGGTCGTGGACCAGAGACGTCTCGGATGGCTCTTGGGGGCCTCCTGGGAGGCCTCTCGATGGGGCCCGTTGGGGACCGCTTGGAGGGGTCTTTGGGCCGTTGAAGCACAAGTTGGGGTTTCTTGTTAAGGCCGTCTTGGGGGCCTCTTGGGCCCTCATGGAAGCCTCGGGGGCCGTCTCGGGGCGGTACCTGGGGCGTCGCGGGGCCTCGCGGACGCTCTCAGGTCCGGCATGCCGAGCATGCCGAAGCCATTCCAGATGCATTTTTTGTTTGTTGGCTCGTAGCTTCTTAGGCCGGCCCAGGCTTCCGAAGCTCGGGCCGGACGAAAGAGGGGGATTGGGAAATGGGGGGTTACGAAATTTGCTGCATGCAGCTGGTTTCGGCCTCGCCGAGGGGCCCATTCCTCGATACATGGGCGCCTCCCGGCGCCGGGAGGCGCCGAGAAAATCAGCTACGTGAGCTGATTCTCAACCCCCCCCTTTGCTATCCCCCCCTTTCGCCCGGTCCGAGAAGCGGCCCAAGGTGCGCCCAAGAGGTCCCCAGGATGGCCCCCTGCGGCCAGCGCAGGCGATGTTGGCAGTTGGCCTTCCGAGCCACGCTCCCGAGGCCTCGGAAAAAAGTCACGCGCCGAGCCCCAGGGAGCGCGCGAGAGCGCCCGAGGGCCCCGTTGATGACCATCTCTTCCTCCCAGGAAAAGTCGAAGGGACCCGAAGACACGACATTTAAGTCGGGCCTGTCCCCCTACAGGGTGTTTTTCGACGAAAATAAGAAACACCCCAAACATGGTCAAAAAATTGTCCAAAAATAGTCGGCGGACTAATTTTTTTAGTATGTTTTGAGCTCTTTGGAGTATTTTTCTGGTATTTTTAATTTATTTTTCGTCGAAAATCCCCCTGTAGGGGGACACGCCCGACATAACACTACATTCAAAGCCTCGCGGCACGGTGGCGGATTTTGCCCCATGCCTGAGCCTAGTCGCCCTGTTCCAGGCAGCTCGTGGAGTCCTGCACTGCAGCGCGCCTGGCGCCGTTGCCGCACGTCCGACCCTGCAGGCTGGTCAGCGCGTCATGCCCCCACGTTTCAGATGATCTCGGAGCACCCTGTGAAGGTACGTGAGACTTGGGGAATGGACGGTAAGGGGATGGGAGTTCGAGGGTGATGGGAATGGATTTCTAGGGAAACAGGAAGGGAAGGGGAGGCGACGGGAACTTTTGTCCACAGAGAGTGCAGTAGCACTACTAATTTCAGCATCTATACATCCCAAGCGCTAGTAGTGCGATAGTGGCAATGTCGCAGGTATGTGGTGGTGGTCATGACGACAGCGTGATGAAGACAGCGGCGAATGTGTGGTGAGGGCATGGCGATCGCGGTCGTCAGAGTGAGTATTACCGTGAGCGCTAAGATCGATACTATTTTCAGTCACGCGAGCCACAGCCAGACCTCCTCGACCACTCCCAGGGCGGGACCCTACAGGCGGCATCTCATGCTCGGCGGGACCGTGCGCATGTCCCTTTGGTGGGCGGGGCCCTACGAGCGGGGCCCGATGGGCGGGGCCGGACGCGAACTGCGGTCGCAGCCATGCGAACGGCCCCGACTCGTCAGGAACCAAAGAATCAGAGCACCAGTGCGAGCGGGGGAGTGGCGCGCGCGGGGGACTGGCGTCGCCGCCGCCGCCGCCGCCCCCGCGTCGTCGTCGTCCGTCGTCGTCGTCGTCGTCGTCGTCGTCGTCGTCGTCGTCGTCGTCGTCGTCGTCGTCGTCCGTCCGTCCCTTCGTCCTCGTCCTCGTCCTCGTCGTCGTCGTCGTCGTCGCTCGAGGTCGTTGCCGTCGTCGGCGTTGTCGTCCCTCGAGGTCGTTGTCGCCGTCGCCCGCGTCGTCGTCGTCGGGGCTCGCACACGGGGAGACGCCGGGGCGCGCATGGAGAGGAAGGGGGAGGGCGTGGGGAGGGCATTGGGGAGGGGAGGAAGGGGGATGAAGGGGGAGGAAGGGGGTCGAAGAAGGGAAGGGGAAGGAGAGGGGAGGAAGGGGGAGGAAGGGGGGGGGAGAGGAAGGGTTTAGATTGGAGCCGCTCAACGTCCTCTTTCCCGCCCGCTCGGGGCGAGTAGCGGGGTCTAGGTGGGGCGGGGAGGGGGGGGGAGGCGGGGTGGGAGAGGAGGTAGTTGGAATCGGGCATTTTTCCGATACTTCGCTGTTGCCTGAACGCCACTTTGCCAATTCCTGCAACTGTCTTCGTGATCTTCTTGAAGATTGCGCCCGTCCCCCTCCTCCCCCTCTCCTTGTCCTCCTCCTCTTCCTCCCAATCCTACCCCTCCTCCCACTCCTCTCCTTCCTTCCACTTGCACTTCGCCTCCGCCTCCTCCTTTCGGGGAAGGGTAAGACCCAGGTTTGCCGGGACTCGGGTTCGCCATCGTTTTTTGACGTTCGCGACTCGGATTTTGACGAGGAGGAGTTTTGTGGGATGTCTGCAGCGGGAGGCCTCGTCAAAATGCAGGCTCGGCCTCGTCATTTTTTTGACGACCTCGTCGGGGATTTCCGAGTCCCCCGTACCCGGGTCTTACGTCTCCCCGATCCTTCTCCTCCGCCTCCTCCTCTTCTTCCCCCCCCCCCTTTCCGGCAGGGATGACGTCCTCATACGCCTCCGCCGCCGTGGAAGCTCTGCTGGCGTCGCCGCGCAGCAACACGGCGGCCCCAGAGGCCTGCTCTCCAGTGGGGCGGGGACGGCCAGGAGGCGGAGGAGGAGGAGGAGGAGGAGAAGGAGGAGGAGGAGGAGGAGGAGGAGGAGGAGGAGGAGGAGGAGGAGGGAGGAGGAGGAGGCCACGGAACAACCTCGGCCACAGAACAATCGCGGGGCAACCACGGGACAGCCCCGGGACAACCACGGGGCTAGCACAGGACAGCCGCGGGACAAACAAAAGACAACCCCGAAGCAGCCACGGGATGACCATGGGGCAGCCACGGGACAGCCGCGAGACGGTGGCGGGACGACCCCGGGCACGCCCAGGCACACCCCCGTGGCACGGGGGAGCGGCTCCTCTGGGCGGGTCCTGGGCGCAGCCAGCGCGGGAGCTCGCGCAGCTTCGCCTCGCCCGCGCGCGCGCGCGTCGCGCACGACGCGAAGCGACATCGAAGCCGATCTCCCGGTTTCAGGAGCGCAAGGAGGACGTGCACGTACACGAATCCACGCTGGTTTCGAGGGTACGCATTGCCCGAATGTTCGCATCTCGCGGCCAGTCTCGCGGATCGAGCGGCCGTGTTCATGTGCATAGCTGGGCGCGTATGTCCGTTGTGGGCTCCCTAAGACTCCATTTCGTGTCGGTCTCGCCCACCAGCCTCAGAAAGCTGGCGGGGGTGTCTCTGAGCCTATGGGTAGTCCACTTCTTCGGTAGAAAATCATGGGAGGCTCGTGCCCCTTCGTAAGTCTGTTTTTTAGAACGTAGTAGTGTCGGTTAGCGTTTGGTGGTCCTCGGGATAGCTCTGATTTAGCGTCGATGAGTGTCGATTTCGCGTCGATCAGCGTCGACTAGCGTAGATTAGCGTCGTTTCGCAGGAGCCGCCAAGATGGAGTTGCCGCAGAACCCTGGTACCCACTTTCGGTCTGGGCGTCCAGATCCGTTTTCGGAGTCTGCGGGAGCTATTTCGGCCTCCAAAGGCTTCACATGCGGCTCGTGAGGTCGTCCTGAGGCCGCCAGGACGCCCCACGGTATCCCAATGTGCTTAAAGATAATTGCGAAGGCCTTACGGCTGGTGCCGCCGACCCTGAAAGGGGACGTCGACGACGACGGCGGCGGTGGCGGCGGCGGCGGCGGCGACGACGACGCTGACGTGGGCCCGAGTCCTCAGGGATGCTTCTTTGGGTCTCTTGGGAAGGCTCTCGGGGGCCTCACGGTACAGCCAAGACGCTGAAATAAGCAACGCCCCGGGTGCGGAAGGGGCTCGCTGTTCCTTATGCTCTGCCATGGCTTCTCCTCCATCACTCCTCGTGCACCTAGGTGCTTCTGGGGCCAAGATGGGGCTTCGTTCCTTATTTAGCGTTTCTTCTGATAATACCTCGACTGTATCCCAATGTGCTTAAAAATGATTTTCAGGACGATCCACAATATAGGATGTTTGGCAAAACTGATGGATCTCCCCGTTTCCAGAACTGGCGCGGGCTTCCACTTGTGTTCCCTTGCTCCTGCCCTTGCCTCTTTGCTTGCCCTTTCTCGCTCCCTCTCTCTTCACCGCCGCTTGGCGGCTCAAGCCTTTTCAAGGCCAAGCTGGGGGTCGGCCTCAGGTGGCCTAAGGCCGGGCCCCGGGACCGGGGCCGGAAGACTTTCGGGCCAGGACCAGGACCGAAAGGGGGCGCCCGCGGCCAGATGGGGCCGCGCCTGGCGCCGCGCGGCTGGGGGGCGGCGGCGCTGCCGCCCGAGGACGCGCAGCTGCGCGGCGGCGGAGAGCCCGGGTGCCGAGCGGCACCGGCTCACGCTAGCCGCGGAGCACCCGGGGGCGGAGGGGCGGCACACGTGACGTGGGCGCGGCCCGCCGCCGCCGAGCGGGCGGCTTGGCGCGCGTCAGCGCCGGCGCCAGCTCAGGCCCAGGCGAGGGCGGCGAAGCGTGCACGCGCGCTGGGGCCCGCCTGGAGGAGCTGCCCCGGGGCCCCAGCGCCGCCGCACGTCGGCAGGCGCCCGGGTTGGGCTGCAGTTCCGTTCGTCGTCCTCCTGGAGATGGTGGGGGTGGCCAACGCCGAGCTCGTGCACGGACAGGCGGCCCCCGACTTCGAGGTCTACTACGACGACGAGGTGAGCGTGGACATGAAGGGGTTCTGGCTCGACGGGCCCATGGACTCCTCCGCGCACGTGGACGCGCTGCCCGTCGGGGTTCACTCCATCGGCGGGCGTACCGCTCCAGCAGGGAGCGGTGGAGGGGGCCCGCCGCGCGCGCGCTCTGCGCCGCCGGCCGACCCACCCCCCCAGGACCCGGCCCACGCACCCCCCGACCCCCCCCGATGGGGACCCATCGTCCTGGATCAGGGGTTGGGGTCTTTTCGGCATCAGCTGGAAAGACATCGGCAACCGGACGCACTGGTTTGCCGAGGGGATGGGTGGGGGTACCTTCCGGGCCGTGGGGAGTGTCAGGTCGGCCTTCTCGACTCGCGAGGCAGGAGGCTGGCTGAGCTCCGACGGCGGCTGGGTGCTGTACATGGCCGACCAGATGGGCCTCTACCTGTTCGGCTCCGCGTGGCCGCTGATTGCCGGGCTCGTGGTTGTCCTCGCCGGCACTGGTGTGGTCGCGCTCTTGGCACGCAGTCTGAGGACGCTCTTCGCACCCTGCAGCTGGGCGGCCTGGACCTGTGGCTTGGTGCTGGCGTGCTGCCCCTGCCCGAGGCGCCGGGCGCCTGGCGAGGCTAAACTTGACAAGCTGGTCCCGCCGGCGGCGCCGCCACTCACCGACGTGGTGTGGCACGGGCCAACTACGGGTGCCGACCCGACGACCGACTGGTTCCGCAAGAGCATCAAGGAGGGCCGGGGCTCCAAGCGCGGCCAGAACGACCTCATGATCAGGGTTGACTACCGGGTCGCCCGGCTCAAGCTCAACATGAAGTCCCCAGAGCGTATCAATCGCCAAGGATTGTGGGTTGAGTATGACTCCGTGAAGGGTGCCAGCGACAAGGGTTTCAGGCGCGAGCTGGAGCAGCGGGATCCTCGCCGGCTTCACCCATGCCGTTCCACCAGCTGTACCGGGTGCAAGGGGCGCGAGAACGAGCTGCACTGCAAGGAGTACGCCGCTCTTGACAATGAAGCCATCGTGGACCTCGGTGACTACTCAAAGTTCACACCATGCCGAATTTTCGTTTGGCTCTGGAGGGGGTTGGGCCTCGTTTACAAGTGGTTGCTGTACATCCTCTCGTGGCTCTCGTGTTGCGGGGCGTGCCTCTGCCGCCGGCGACGCCGCCGTCACAGGGCTGGCGACGCGGAGCCTGGCGTGCAGGGGTCAGTGGCAAGGTTACTTGACCAGGAGTCCGAGTCCGAGGTGGACGCCGAGGACAACCCCTGCGAGGCGGTGAAGGTGGGGCTCATGATCAAGGGCAAGATGCGCCCACTAGCACCCGAGGGCTGTCGGGGCGCCGCGCGCGGTGACCCTACTGTGTTGTTGGTGGAAGATGGCCGGGCTTCGGACCTCCCACTTCCAAGCGAAGGGAGCGCGACGGCTTGCCTCTGCGAGCATCACCGGCAGATCTACATGGTCCTGCGCTACGGCGAGAGGTGCTCTCAGGTGACGTGCTTCCGCGAGGCGGTGGGCATGGCTTCAGGGGTTCCGCTCTGCCTGCAGCACCTTGGGCGATGCTGCTCGTGCGCTCCACGACAACCCCACGGGAGTCGGGTTCTTCGCGGGACTGCGGCGCCGGGCTCGGCGGAGCCCAGCCCCGCGGAGCCGCGCGCCGGAGCGGGCAGCTGCCCCCGGCCCGGAGTCGCACTCCAGAGCGCTCCGCCCCGACGACCTCTGCTCCAGAGGCGCCCCCCAGCCCTGGCGACCCCGTCCCGGCGCCGGCTGGGCCACCGAGCGTGCGTTTCGAAGCGCCGCCGGTCCCAGAGTTCCCCAAGCCGCCTACTCCGCCACCCATGCCCCTCGGGCGACACTTCATCATACGGGCGAGAGTACATTGGCCAGAGGGAGCGCAGTGGATGATTTTCAGAGGAAGGGCAGTTGATGCCGCCGCGGCCAGCACAGTGGCCGACTACCTCGACGGCGCTTTGGCACTCGAAGTGGAAGACCCGTCCGGCATCGCCATCCGCTTTCTCGTGAAGCCTGACGGCGTCATCCGTGCGCCGTCCCCGGGACCTTCCGGGCGCCTGCCCGCGGGGTTCATCGAGGAAATGCTCCACCACGCGCCTTTGGGATGTGAGGAGCTCGGCATCAGCGTCTCGGCGACCAACGTACCCGAGAAAGTCTGGCACAAGTTGGCGGCGTGGCACGGTCTCCCTGTAGGCGGGCGAGCTGGGCCACTCAGCGAGGCTCGCTGGCGGCTACTCAGGGAGAAGGTGGTCAACCTGGTCAGGTGGCACCCCGAGGGAGGTGTGGCGCCCAGCCCGAGCTTCGAAGCGCAGGCCACCGAGGCGGACGCCAAGCTGCGCAGCCACTGGCAGCGGCTCGATCGCAGCAGCTCACCCAGACCACCTTCAGGGTCCACGCGTCGGGGCTCTCGCTCCCCGTCAGCCGAGGGCGGGCGGGCAGCTAGCTCCGAAGCACCAGCATCAGGAGAGAGCCATCAAGGAGACGAGGGCGGAGACATGATGGCCTGCTACTTGGAGGAGAAGGCCCGCGGGTCGAGCGACGCAGCAGCGGTGCAGAGCGTGGCCGCCGGCTTCGATGAAGAAGCCCAGCAGGTGCTCGCCAGCCTCATCCGCTACGCCCAGTACCTCAAGCAGCAGACGAACGAGCCAGAGGAGCTTGCACGGCTCGATGGGCACATCGGCAGTTGGGAGGTGCTCCAGCAAGTGCCTTCGCGACCGCAGGCCCCAGAGGCCGCGCCTAGCAGCCTCCAGGGCCTCCTCGAGCTCCCTCCCGAGCGCCGCCGCTCGCAGGGGCCGCCGGCCTCCCAGGCCGACAGCGTGCCCCTGTTCGAAGCGCGTCCGCCCCTCTCGCCAGCTGCCGCCCCGCCAGCTTTCACTCTCGGACCGCGGGACGCCGGCCTCCCGGCCACCACAGCTGGGTTG